TTCTGAAGGAGAGCTTCGTTTCCAGGCCCAGATGGGGAAACCCGACAACTAGCATGAAACAAGTCCCTGTAGTGAAGCAAACTCGTGTTAGGATCCCATACTTCACCAATGAGATCGGCAAACTTTATGGGTTCGACTCCCCTTGCCCCCCTCCTGTTTCCTTTCGTTGGCCCAAAATCTTGCTTCAAGACAAATTTGACAACACGCAAAGGAAAGCTAGCCAAAACCAATTTTTCCCAGCATAGTTTGCCGAGCTACAACCTAATAAAGCCCCAACAATCCACTTTCAAGGCCGCCAGGCCTCAAATCTTAGTTCGGCGAACTAGGCCCAAAAACGATTTGGCCAGGAAAGAAGCAGTCAGGTTGGGGGTGAAAGGGAAAACAACCAAACCATCACTACTTCAAGTTCCAAGGATCTTTTCCGTCCACAAGATCTGGCTGAATGGTCCGTCTCTGAGAGGCTTTGGGGCTAGGGAACACGCTTGGCCGAACGCGGTCCGTAGGTGTTGTTGGGCACTCATCATGGCTGGAGGGCCGCTTCATGGGGGGCACAACTAAAAGAACTTCAAAAACTTCCCGACCTCGAAATTGGGCAGTGTTTTTTAGTGGTGTGGAGAGTGAGCAGGTGAGGCATGACTTCTTATTTTTTTGCAAACTCGAGCCCGAAAACTCAAGCAAAACTCCAACTGACTGACATCCTCTTCCCCATGCAAATCCAGTCCTAGATCCAGTGCCCACGCCCGCCCGCGCCTCCAAAATCTCTGCCAGGACTGTGAAGTCGATGAAGTGTGTGTGTGTGTGTGTGTGTGTGTTTTGCGTGTGTGTGTGTGTGATGTTAGTATGACCATATACCTTAATTTCAGCTTGCTCGTTAATTTCAGGTGACGTCGGTGACGTCGTTTTATATTGCCTAGTGTTTATGGCAAATCTGGAGGGTAAATTTACCTCCCGCTTGTGCGCGCATTGGGACAAAAATATTGGTAAACTTTTGTTTATATATATATATATAACTGTTAGAGAAAGAGGGTGCTTTAGCCAAAGGAAACAGCCTTCAGTTTTTGCGTCGGCTTTGGCTCCAATAGAACAGCTGTCCAATTCTACAAGTAAGGAGCTACCAATACTGCTTCTACTACGACGACTACTCCACACCAGCCACCCAACCACTCAGCCACTCAGGCATGTCTTCCTGTCGGCCACTCAAGCTTTTCTCCGTGTCAGCCACTCAGCCACTCAGACTTTTCTTCATGTCAGCCACTCAGCCACTCAACCACTCAACTCAGGATTTTGTTCCTGTCAGCCACTCAGCCACTCAGGCTTTCTTCGTGTCAGCCACCCAGCCACTCAGGATCTTGAGTGGCTGAGTGGCTGAGTGGCTGCCAGGAAGAACATCCGCATTTCCACGTAAAATCAGAAAACTACCCCCAAAATCGACCATGCTGGTAGTTTAGTAGCGGCTTGAAAGGGCGGTAATTTATATAAAAACACAGGATTTCGGACGCGGTGTTTTTTAATTGGGGAGGCTTTTTTAATAGGTACTCGGGATTATATCGCGCTGCCATGACCTTGAACCCTTCTCTTGCAAGCGAAACCCTGCAGATACGCGCAGTACCCCCGAAGGGCATCGCCGGTTGGGGAAGCCTGTCAGTACATACATGCGTTGCTGTGGAGGCGGAACTGGAGTTTGTGCACGCCAGCCTGTGGGCGCTGGGATAATCTAGGATTCCTGGTGGCATGAAGCAAGAAAAAAAGGAGCGGAGGGAGCGCGAAGTCACAACCAACCATCTCTGATAAATTATAGGAGTTTTGTATATAGAGGTGAATGCCATGGTGCGGGCTTTACCATCAGAGTTTAATAGGTCTGCTATCGTCGCCCGTGCTGTCGTTCAATACTGATGTGATGCTTTCGTTGGACAGTTTGCGGGCACATTGGATGTTGAAGCCACCGCGCAAAGCGAAAGACAGTGGTCTTTGCTGCAGCTGTCTCAGTTCTAAATCAAAAAGGAAAGATTGATTGTCGATGTTTGCCCTTGGGCGACCTGGCCGCTACTCTACTTACAGGAGTGTGCTCGGTAGTGCTAGGGTTAGTACTTTTTCGGGTAGCCGAAGGGTTCGGGTACAGGTGGGAACGAAGAGTTGATCACAGGTGACAGAAACTGTCTAACACAATTAGCAATTGCACCACAAAGCACCGCTGCGGCCAAAATCACAAGGCTAAGTTAAAGAGTCACAAGGCTAAGTTAAAGAGTTGTCAGAAAATCCCGCCCCGCCGCAGATTACCTTTCCTAAAGCCTAACCTAACTATGGTCAACAGGGAATCACCTGATCTTGTTCGCATCGAAACCTGCACATGTCAGCGGCCGAACAATGGAAAAATTGGTCGAACAGGTCGGTTTTCCGTTTTCATCATCAGCGGGTTTCCCTTGCAAATGTCGTCAAATATCTTACAGTATATACCCAGCATTCCTTGCATTTATCTAAACAGTCCACCCACATACACTAGCATTGCAGCATGTCTCCATTGCAAATTGAAGCACCAAGCCGCACCACCCACGGTAATCAGCATAGAAGCTCAGGAGCACCACCTGGAACAGCGGGTGCTAAGTGGATATAGCCACGTGCACTTGGAACAAGAAAGCATAGTTTGGAGTAGTTTGGCAACATCAAGCACAAATCTGTAGGTGCCAAACCATCCGCCCAGCCAGTTCCAATGCAAGTCAACACCAGCGGCTAGCGGTCTTTTTGAGAGTGCTGCAAAAATGATGTCTTTCGGCGCTTTGTAGGGGTGTATTTTGTGTCTCACTTGTAATGAAGCACACCGCAGAGGACCCCTCACAAAATATGTAATGTATATAGCATCTTCTATAAGTTGTTTTGGACAAACCGGACCAATTGAGTTGAGAGAAGGAACTCAAGTGCAACACACACAAGCACATCACCTCGCTGTTGGCCACAAGATCGTCCAAATTGGTGGTGTCAGCCGACACCTCCAGTACTGCCCCATCAGCCTGCCCAAGGAAGTGAACTTCCGTCGCAAGGCCCGAACTAACCGAAAAGCCGGAGGAGACACTGGTTGTTTGAATTCTGTGTCGGAGATAGTTCGCGTCAACTTATTCCAACACCCTTCTTCCTCCTTCTACTTGTTGTTTTTGTGCGCATGTGCGCACGCTTTGCCACTGTTCTGAATAATCTGATACAGTAGACCCACGGTATGTCTGTCTGCCTGAAGGAAAGCAGTTGTGATGAAAGCACAGAGCCATTGCGCAGCTTGGCCACTCATGTTTTCAAGCTGCTGGACCGTTTGATGCTGGCAGGTTTGACAAACATATCGACATAGTGTTAACTGATCTCGCTTCAGCAATGAGTACAACAGGATCGTATGCGTTTGGCTTCGCCTGCTACACTCACAGTAGAGTCAGTAGAGGCTGGCAGTGTAATGAGCTAGGGTGAACTGTAGCAAGTGCTCCATGACTGGGTGGTGTGATGGTTCTGTTCGTTCCGTCACGCATGCCAGATTCATGCCTTCCGCCCTGGTGGTGACATGTAGGTTCAACCATGTCAAGAGCTTACTTGAGTCTCAGCTCCGTGATACATCTGCGCTAGTTCTACTCAATAGACTGAATCGTGTGATTATGGTAGGCTGCAAAGTGCTGTAAGGTCTGGCCGGTCGGCAAATCCTTTGGTTCAACTGCTTCACTACTTTCAAAAACACCTCTCACAATCAATCCTCCTCCAAGCACACTTCAAGCAGGCTCTGCATGAAGGAGCGGCCTTTGGTCAACGACCAAAAAGCGGTCTGTCAAACGCGGAAAAATCACGGATCATTGAGGCTGAACCCGACTACTTTTCTGCGATGCAACGTTGAATGACAGTCTAGGTTGCCGACACTCTGCCGCGCATTTGGAGACCTGTGGTACTTTGCCACTGTGTTCCTGAAGGTGTCGATGCCAAATCACTTGGTAAGTCTCACCGGACAAGGAACATGAAGCGGTCAAGCTGACAGGTAGCAAACGACGGACACCTCTCTCGCCCATCGGGCCAGCAGGGTGCAAGAGATGGTAAGCGTTTCCTGAACGTGGCAGCGCAAATATCATCGCATAAGAGGCTGAGGGCTGCAAGGGCCGACCCAATCAATTTACCAAGCGAAGTTAAAAACATCCTATGTCAAAAGTCCAGACTGAGCAACGCCTGAAGTGCAAAACATTGAAAACATTGAGGCCCCGGCCGCCAGGATTCCCAACGTAGGGCGCCCTGAGCAAGGTCAGCCAAACAGCCCAAATATGCCTGAAAAGCTGGCCCAAAACCCCACAGCAGCAATACAACAACCATGGCCCTGGCGCTCGAGGATCGACTCAATCTGGTGCGGCCCTGGTGGAACATCAAGACTTGATGTGTAATATGGGAGTGGGAGTGTGTATGTGTGTGTGTGTCTGAGAGTCTGAATGTCACGTTGCGTTGAATACTCTCGCCAAACCTGGCGTTGGCGCTGAGGCCACCTGCATAGAATTCAAATGTAAGGATTTGAGCAGGTAGCCGATCGCTTCGGAGCTGTGCGAGCGGCTCGATTGACATGTATACAATGATAAACAACCCTGACTCTTGGCTCAGGGGAAAACAAAAGCAACCCACCTGGCACTCTGGATCAAGCAGCTGCAAAGCCGCGAATGGCACCTCTTCGGCTTGTCTACATAGGTGCCGAAAGCCAAGAGCGGAGCAAATGACAACAAAACAATCCACAAAAATGCTCGGGTTGGCTCCATGAAACGCTCCAAAACCAATGCCGTCAGCTTGCCCCGCCTCTGCATCACGGCTAGCGGAGACCCGAGATTGCCTCAGCGGCGCGAAAAACTGAGAGGGACGACAAATGCTCAGGTTTCAAAACAAAGGAACAGTTTTGTTGTCTCGCTCGCTCGCGTGCGCTCTCTCTCTCTCTATCTATCTATCTATCTGTCTATCTATCTTTTCTCTCCATCTCTTCTTCTCCCGCCCTCTCTATCTTTCTGTTTTGCTGTGTCGCTAATCATGGATGCAGCTGACTATGTATATAAGCAAGAAATGGGTGAGACGCCTGCATTTGGTGCAGGGCTTTGCTGCACCTAAAGTCCTAGGGTAGAACGCACTGTGGAGCAGCATGTTGTGAAAAGACTGATGGCGTGGCATACATTGCTGCCCCTCCAAAGTTGCACTGCTGCAAGGGGTCTGCATGGTCGTGAACACTTTGGAAATAGCGACTGAACACCCAATCACCCTTCTCAAAGGCCGTGAGGCACGCGGCGTTTATCTGATCACAGCTGGAACTACCTCACGGCAACGAAGTTTTACTGTCAATGGCGCAAATATGCACGTGAAGTGTAAACCGTTTTTTGGTAGCGACCTTGTAAACCCCCAAAAGCATGTTTGTTTTCGTGAAGCCACCTGAAAGATGCGCACAGCCCCATTTGATAGCAGTTTCCACCGCAACAGTGGAGGCATTGCGATCTGCCACGCAGCGGGCTCCGTCGCTTCTCGTTAACCAAGGCATCCTGTGTTGCCTGGGCTGCAACTCCCCTGAGTCCCTGTCACGTTGCACTGCTATGCAATGCTCATGTTAGACCTTCCTGCACATGCGCGGGGGGCTTGTCAGTGGAACCAAAAATTGCACATCCTTAAGTCCGAGCTACATGTCTTTGACAACGTTGTCAAATTGGTAGCCAGGCCCTGAGCCATCCATGTATATCTTGGCAAACTCCTTCAAGCCATTGCCATCGACCACATCCAAGCCCAAGTGGGTGGCAACCCGAGCGACAAAACGTTGGAACTTGTCCATATCTTTCAACCCCACAATCAAATTGTAGCCTTAAACTGCAGCCCGTTGACATTGAAGGACTTGAAGTTTTGAAAATTTAGTCGGGGCGATACCATCGCATTCACCAACAAAAGCTGCGCCTTTGGCAGCCAACGCTGCTTTGAAACATCTAAACTCGACATGGCACATGTGCCCACATGCGTGCAAACATGATGCGGCCATACCAAGAAAGAGCCGGGACTGGAGCTTACCATCATGTCAGTGCGACAGCATGATCCGACAACAACATCTGAGCGTGAGACAGCCTGACAGCATGCCGGCGTAACACCATGCCACGATACCCGCGTGACAGCACGTTAGCTTGTCTACACGTCCGGACGCCTGCATTCTGCACATACAGCGCGGAAAAATTATTGCACCGCTTCAGCACATCGGCATGGCAACGCCTCAACAGGCCAGAATGAAAAGCATCAGCACGACAGCACGATGGCAAAGATAGCAGCTAGCATGGCAGAGTGTCTGCCTGTCAAGAATGTTGACATGACAGCGTGCAGCATACAAGCGTGGTAGCCGGCACAGCAATATTTCAACATGACATGACATCAGGCTACCGGGTACCGTGACATGTCAGCCATGCCATTACGCCACGACAATGTCCGCACGGCACACCCGCAAGTCTGCAAAGCGCTTACTTCGGAAATTGCCCGGAAACCACCTCGAAAGAACTCGGCGTACAAGTTCTTATCGTCAGGGTCCTGGGTTGGACCCATAGTGTGAGGCCCCATCTTCGTCAGCTTTTTCTTCCTCGAGTGTTGGATCGAAGACGGACCTCAGCTTGAAGAGCTTGGGTGAGTCTCAGGGCCACCTTTGCTCTTGTGCGGCGGAGATGCACGGTCTTTTTGGGCAGTGGTGGCACGTTCTCAAAAGTTCAAATCTGTTGGTCTACCCAAACGCGGCAAAAAAGATGGCGGCGGAACGGCGGCAATGCGGGAACGAATTCATAGGGTCATCTACAACCATAGGAAATGGCTGCAACGAAAATGAAGCCGGAGCTTGCTCGATTCCTGCACCTGGTGCGCTTGCAACAAATAAAAGAGAGGTCCTTCCTGTACTGTCGGACTGTAGGGTGAAAGCGCTGTACTGACTCGCAGGCTGTCACGACGCACACACGATAGGCGCTTCTTGATGCCAGGTGGGAAAAGCCGACATATCTGGCAGTGACACCGAGCTCTTGTTAGTACCTACTGTGTTCCTGTATACTGGTCCATGAGCAATGTGGCAAAACATTACGGCAAAGAAGGGAACATCCTTCTGAGATGTCCTCAATCCTTTGACCATCAGAATGCTGCGAACTGCGAACTCATATTCAGCTGGTGTTGAAAACCTGCAAAATGGACTTGGACACATGTGAGCTGCGCTTCCGGTCTTAGTGTGAAATGAAAGTTTCTGAAACAACAAGCGTTCGCCACAATCTGTACGGATAGACCTGGACAAGGTGAGTCCCACTTCCCTGTCCTTTGGCCGGCCCTTCAAGATGCTGTTTGTGCAGAAAGCTGCACAATGAACACCGACTAAAAAGAGATCTGATCAAGCACTGGCAGAAAGTTGTGGAGTAACGATGTTGGCTTTAGAATCAGCCTAAGAGAAAGAAAAATCTCTCGCGCCAAAGCAACACATGTCAAAACTGCAATATAAAAAAACCTGCAATTGTTGACCTCAAGCTCAGACTGAAGTTCTGAATGGACTTGTTGTACCATATCTTGGAGGCTGGAGGGCCGTCCAACACAAATAACGTTTCGTTTCTGGCTGCGTTCGTACAACGCAGCGATCATAGGTAACACCTTACGGCCCGTACGGCGTTTCTGTTCGACAGAACCCCAATCATTGAGGTCTCCATGTTAGACCAAGGACCACAGACAGGTTCCGAGACAACAACATCTGGCTGCTGCTCACCAATGACCCTTTTGGTCAGAAACCATTCCTGGATGTGGAAATGTCAACAAAATATACTGTCACTTGGCGTTGTACCTTCACACCACACAGCGCACAACGTTGGCTTTATCTGGCAGAGCCAGAAAAACTCAAGAACGCGAACTTCACCTCGTAGCCCACAGTCCCAATAATAATTGGTATGTGAAGTGGCATCTGCGCTGAAAAACTCCCCAGCATCTTTGTATACGAAATCGGGCCCTGGAACTATTGGCACGCCCTTACCACGAAGTCGCTGAGGAGGAGGACGCTCACGCAGTGGAAGTTCAACTCCCGGCTTCCCAACTGCAAAATAGTATTGACCCTGACCATCCTTGACCAACACCAACCATGAAGCTTTCGTCAGAAAGACCTCGATCTTGGATTTGTCTCCCTAACCATAGAAAACTGCATCGCCAAGGGGCAATCAAGCAATCAACTCATTGGGCATACGGAATCATTGCCCCACTCACGTCTAGGCCCTTGGATATTTCACTTCTGGTCTAAGCTCCTGACTTAGCTGCGATGGCAAATGAACCCAAATGAGCCAAATGGCCGAGATGAGTTCAATCATGAAACATCTTCCTGCGCGCTTCAGAGATGGAGACGCACGACTCCCAAAATGACCAAAATGGTCATTCAATCCAGCCACAGGCATAGCTTTATGTTTCTTGGTCTTTCATCGAGACACGCGCCAGCCAAAAATGGTACCACCCCAGCTGACATCACAAACTTGCTAGACAAATGGCCCTAAGCAAAAAACATGTCAAGCTAAGTGCGCCTTGGCATCCAGACATTTGCGCCGATATATAAACCCGGACAATTCGATGATAAATCCAGATTCCCTGCGCGCTTTGAAGAGAAGTTCGAGATGCGAGCGCCGAATAAGCACCGGAAGAAATCTTTGGCCCACGGCCCTGACACGTATTCCGGAAACATTAAAGGATTTCCCTTGCGCACTTTCGCTCAAGATTCCGCGCCAAAGGTTTCCAACTGTACGTCTTCAAAGCCATGTTCAATATGTCTACACGGCTTTCAAAGCATAGTTGGTCGAAGGAATCGTGATGGTGCTCCCTCCTCTCCAATATGTTTTCCGAGTTGGTCGCACATGTTTAGTTTAAGCAAAGCTTTCTCCAGCAAAATGATCATCTCAACGGGCTTCTTTATGACCTTGCGGCCTTTGCCCTTGTTTTAAGTTTGGTTGGCTGCGCTCTACCATCAACTTTTCTTGCGCGCTTCGCGTCATACAGCCACAGTCTGTACGCATAGGTCGCAAAAACACTGCTGCAAAGACTTTATCAACCACAAGGCCATTTTGCTTTGCCAAGACTCAGGAAGCCCAGGCTCTAAGCCATCTTCAAACCATCTCAATCTTCTGCCCTAAACAATGAGCCAACAAGGTTCCAAGTTTTCGACTATGGAATAGCATACATTTCTGAATTTCCGAAGGAAGGCCAACTGAAATCTCTCAACAACACATCTCATTTATGATCTGAAGAAATGCCCGGACTGTATGCATGAGCATTGCCCAAGGTCCTTCCAAATAAAGACTCTCCAAAGACTCACACGTTTCAGGCCAAAAAGTAAGTTCAACAAAAACACAATCAGCGAAAGGGGAAAACCGTTTTCCAAGAACTGTTGACAAACACTTGCAGGTAAGACCATCAACAGTGAACTGCTAGAGTTTCTCCACAGCACATGTGAACTTTAATAATGCTTCATAAAAGTTTCAAATTTGATACACAAGGGCTGCAAAAGGCAGAGCTTGTCCCGTTCATATACTTACTTTGAATTCTCAACCACTTCCTGGCCCTCTGAACCTGCATGTGTCTCTTCCAAGTTCTTTGTGACTAAAAACTAGAGATCTCTCGGCGCTGTGACAATATTCATGTGGGAACAAGCATGTCAGTCGCTTCACACAGACTCTTGCAGAATCTCAGGCGCTGCCTTTTTTGAACTACACAAAGAGAATCAAAAACCAGGGTGGGCCGTTTGCAGATGTTCCTGAGGTCTTGGCCTGGTGCCCCTAAAGGCGATCAGCATGCGTCATGCGTCATATAGCTGCGATACTAAACTAAAGAACTGTAGTCAACACCAGGGATAAACTAACGGCAGCTCATAATGTTTTGAACAGCTGTCTTTACGCAATAGGGAATAGATACCTCAAAACACGCAAAGGCATCTTAAATAGACGTGGCTTATCAAAGACTCTTGGTTGAATACTTCATATTCAAACCATTGCTCCTGAACTTTCTTTGTTATTCTTGATTTTCTGTGTCTTAAAACTTGAAACCATTAGCTTGACTAAATTTATGCAAGTTAGCTATGGCGACCTACCTGATCTGCACATCCCTGGTCCAGAGCCCTGGTCCAGCCCAAAGCCTGTTTTGAACTCATCTCAATCCTCACTGTTGCTTCCGCGGTGCCCCCGAAGCTGATGAAGGTGCGAAAAACTTTTTGCCAAGGCTTGGTCATATTGAAGGAATTGGATTACCCGCTCCTTGCTCTCTATGCACTTTCGCAAGCTTCCTGGCCTCTCCTGCAGATCGGCCCGATAATGGCACAAGACGAAGTGGCACTCCTCCACCCACCTCGAAACTCTCCTCTCTCATTGCGATAGTCACACACGCGTTCAACACAACAAGCGCGAAAGAGTTGCAAGCAAGCGGTCTGCTTTTCTTGAGCGTTGAGCCTTGAGCCAAAGACGTCAGTCATGCACTCAGAGTGTGGGGCCGTACAGTGGTGATAAGCTGTCACAAAGGGAAGCACTCCCTTTTGTATTCAAAAATCAATTCAGAAGGGTGGTGATTTGATAAATCAGTTGTCAAACCCAAACGACCCAACACTTGCTTTGCACGACAACTCAAGGCATCCCTTTGAGGGCTACCTTTCTTGATCAAGCTAAAAAGAACTCAGTGGTTAAAAAGAAAAGCTTTGAACCCCAAAACTAACTCCGGGCAGCCCAGTTGAGAGAGTGGCACTGTATCGGGCTGCGGCAGGCAAAGCTCTGACACATCCGGCGCGTGGCCACCGTAGGCTTCAGCGAGGGCGTCAGGCAGCAGGGCTCCGCCCACCAACTGTGGCCTTCGAGGAGGTTCAGATTCTCTAGCCCGCAGGCCGTAGGTTGTTGCAAGGGGCTCAAGATTCAAACACACATTTCATTCAAAAAACTGTTACGGGCATCCTTGCGCGCGCACAGTTTTCAAGTGGATGTAGGATTCTGCATACGCCATACGCTGCTTCATACTCTTCCTCTCTCATATTTGCGTGATTTCTAGTTTCTGCCTGTCAGAAGCGCCTTTGACCTGCGCATCTCCACTCTTCACACGATTGCTTATTTCATCTTCCTGCTGGAAGATGGAGGTATATATATATATATGCCTATCTATCTATCCATCCATCTATCTATGTATATAAGACAAGCTGTCGGGAAACCTAGGCCTTTCGAAATACAGCGCTCGACAATAGGGTGTGTGTGCGTGTGTAAACCGCTACCACAAGCGGATGATCAGAATTGAGCGCGTGAGCATAGAGCATCGAATTTCGAGCGTTCTAACAGCAGGGGGTAGCGACGCCCATTTGATCTGGTGAAGCATTGGGAGACGTCCCGGTTTCTACCGGCGTTTTCAACTAGTGATCAAGCTGTTCACTCCACTCTTCTTACATATCTCGACGGCGTCGTGCATATACCTGCTGACAAGAGGCCGTGAACTTAGGACGTCTGGGGCTATGCCACCTTTCCACCGTTCCTCTAACCAAAATCATTTCACAGTGTGAATAGGGCGACGCCAACTCTGGCGACACCGTCGAGCACCCACGCGCGGTTCTATAGCCGGCAGGGGCCTTCCCCTTTCCAATCAATATGTACCCCCGTCAAGGGCACGTTGAATCCAGATCTCCCGTCGGGGAGTTCCGAGCTGCTATCGGGCACAAACTCGCGGTTCTTACGAGCCGTTGTAGAGCCAGCCTCGAGCGCAGCTGCCAGCGGCGAAGTTAACTAAAAGAGAGCGAACCCCCACGGAAGAATTTTCCGCCCAGTGAGCTACGGGAAGCTGCGCAGTCCCTGCCTTCAGAATCAAACTACAGTAGTTCCAACCTTCTATGAATAGCGGGCCCTCCTTGTTCCCGGGCCTCTTGCGCAGTGCAGCTTTATCGATTCTGTTCAACTTATTCTCCTCAATTCGGCTCCAGATTACTTCGATTCGCAATTTCCAGGTTCAATCATGCCAGATGCCGTTCACTCCAACAGTAACAGTTGTCATACCAGCACACCACGTCAACACCACGAGTTCGCCCAAAATCACACCCTCCACAACCTTCTTGGGCTCTTGATCAACCGGGCCCAGTTGGGTTGATAACCAATCGTGGATTCTCGGATGAGCTTTAACTATTTGTACGATGAACTCCTATCCACCAAAGATGGTTTGGAACATACTCGAACACTCTACGCCCTGTGCGTCTAAGGCCCCTGCAATCCGAAGGAACCACCAGCAGCGTCGACGCCCAGTTTACGTGGGCTTTGACGCATGCTTCCATGTTCAGAATGACCCCCCCTTAGGATGTGATCAGGACATATTGTCCTGTCTGCGTAACCTAGTGGCCATTACGTTTCTCACGCATTCCCTGCCGCGACTTTGCCTAGGCTCATTTTTTCTGAGTCATCAACCTGACATTTGTTGCACTCGCTGATTGCATGATCGAGTCATATACATCCAGAGCGTTGCCTTGTATCATGTTGCTTTTCGCACACGCGCTTGCGAGTTTGACGACAAAACTGCGCCCTCCTCAGCGAGGGCCATGTGTGTGTAAACCGCTATCACAAGCGGATGATCAGACTTGAGCGCGTGAACATAGAGCATCGAACTTCGAGCGTTCTAACAGCAGGGGGTAGTGGCAGATGATTTGGGACCGCTACCAACGAAAACGCCCATTTGATCTGGCGAACCTCCAAGTGCAGATTTCGTGGCAGGCACAGCACTTCGTGAACTTCCAAAGTGCAGATTTCGTGGCAGGCACAGCACTTGTTGAACCTCGAACCTCGAAGCACAGAATTGGTGGCAGCCACAGCACTTTGCGAAGCTGGATGCGCAGATTTCGTGGCAAGCACAGCCCAGCACTTTCTGAACCTGGACAGCCTGGAAGTGCAGATTTCAGGGCAGGCGCAGCACTTTGTGAACCTGGAAGTGCAGATTTCGTGGCAGGCACAGCACTTTGTGAACCTGGAAGTGCAGATTTC